CAGTCCAAAAAATACAGTAAATATAGTGACATGGGAAAAATGTACCTTGTGACAGCCAGAGCAGTCACTTAAGAGTTTAAGTACCTAATTAAATAAATAAAAAGTTTTCAATCTGTAATTGTGTAATGTCAGCATTACCCATAGTGTTATGTTGGGCAGGAACTTTAGGGGGCAACATGAGAGTGGGTAAGGCAAATCGGTGAGCTTATTGATGAGCTGAAAAAGATCAGCCAAGTGAGGCTCGGGTCGCCCTGTAAGGGGACGAACAAGCCACCACTGCTAAGGGTCACACAGTAAACACCTCGACTGAGGTACACCAATATGTACACGAGGGCGCAAGCATTTAAAATCTCTAACCTCTGCTAGGTAATCCTCCGTACAAGAATATACAGGATGCAATCCAGGCAACCAAAAGTAACTCTTTAAATAGCTTTACATCTTTTCTATGTTTAAGAAAAAAAGCTCATTAAACAGATCAGTGCATATGACTTTAGTCACACGCCAATCAGCTACAACAAACCCACACCTTGTTACAACACAATGTCATTTTGTGAAACCTACAGAGTTCCCACTCTTTATCATGTTACTTTGGCAGGATGTAAACACGACTGTATAGCACACTTTTCATTAGCACCAGTTCAGGATGAAAAACATGAAATAGGTGCCGACCCCACTGTAATCCAGGGTTTCCTTTGCCACGCTTTAATGTTGTGGTTGACTGGTGTATTTTCATCACGCATTTCTAAACCCCTGTACAACTGCAGAACTGTGAAGTGTCTCATACACTGGAAAAGATGGTGGGTATTGTTAGCTTCCAGGATAAAGCTGATCGTGTTTTAATAGTCATTAAAATAAGCTGCCATTTGCAGTAGCTTCCCAAATACCATCTCGTTTTATTAGCATCAGTACAATAAACACTGTACACAAGCAAATTTCTCAGATACATCTGTTTTAACAAAAAACAAACTATTAAAAACAGAACTTATTAAAGTAAACTGCTTATAAACACTTCCTATAGAGATCATGAGGTATTTAAGTTCATGAAAAACTATATACTGTATATATGATCGGGATTCATATTTGTTCATTTCAAGACATGAGTGGGCTTGTTTATACTTCTCTGGGAACTTGAACATAATGTTAACAACATACCTTAAAAAATAATAAATGCAAGACTATTTTTTTGTTGCTAAAATTCCAGTTAGACTAAAATGTCCACATTGTGAGGCTAATATCCATTTTTTTTCTGTGGAATCCATTATAAAAATGAGTAAAAATTATTTTTAAGGGTTACATAATTCATTCAAAATTATCTATGCAAGAATGCGAGACATGCCATGATGTTTCTAAACCACCCAACATACAAACAAAAAACATGTTTGTTCCTCTTTGAGCTTTAAGGAAAATAAAAAAATAAAGGAAAAAGAAGCATAAAATGTTGCCTTTAAAGGCATTAACATCTGTCGGGTTTGCAAGGAGCATACAAATGTTAGGTAAGAGATATTTAGTGCACTTTACTACAAGCTGTGCAACACAAAGAGCTGCTGAACTGAAACAAGAAAAATATACAAAAACTTCCATTTTGTATACAATTAAGTTTTCTTTGCTCAAACACTGTGAATAAATCCAACAACTTTACACGATGCATGAGCTATATGAATCTAAAGGTGAGGGAATTTATTTTGTTCAGATGCCAAACTGTTTTGTTTTAATGGAAGAGATGTTCAAATCAGATATCACTGCAGATATTTTTCATGTTTTGTTGAATCATGAAGGTACTCTGTGGCGTCGTCACTTGCAATGAAAAGTATACATTCAGCATTTACAAAAATTGCTATCAAGGCCCGTTTAACAAATACATTTTCACACCCGTTTCTTTTGAAACCTGTCTTAATACTTGTCCAGAACTAATCTTCTATATTGACATTTAGATCCACACCAGCGCCCCCTGCAGTCCGTCACGTGTCCTGCAAGTTTATTCTCCACAACAAAACCAGCAGCTAAAACCACCAGAGTACCTTTAAAAGCCAACACTAAAATCTAAATGTCTATTTATTTTTTCTTTTAAACTTGTTTTGCAGGGGTAGAGCAGTTTTTTTTAATTTTTTACTCTGTCAAACAGGAGGAGTCTTTGGCATTTTTGCCACAAAAGCACATCAATAAGCAGCTTTAATAATCTTTTTTTCTTCCTTTACAAAATTTAACAACCTACCCACCACAAATCTAAATGAGGTGAAATGGCTAGGATTGTCTTTTTGATAAATTAAGGATTATAAATTATATAAATTTAGTACAATTTAACTGTAGTATATAAATGAACTCGGTAAAAAAAATGATTAAAAGCAAATCTGTTAGCCAATCATCAAAAGACAAATCAGTATCACATTTTGGCCATGGAAATAAAACTAATTCAACCAAAATTATTTATTCCTCAAAAGAATTAGGGCAGAAATATACATACATAAATGTCCATAACAATAACATGACAAAAAAAAATGGCAAAAAATTAATCTGAAATAAAACAATTTCTCTTTAAGAAATACATCTACTGTGTTTAATACAGATTTATAAGTTACCATTCTTCTGGGGGGAGATATTAGAAATAAAAGTTAACCCACAGATCACACACTATAGCAGCAAACGTGCTGAGGATAATGATGTGGAAGAGGAGAAATTTAAGTTATGGTAATAAAAAGGTGCTACACAAACAGGAGAACTCCTTGCAGGGTGTTCTCAGTTTCAACGTCTTGAAAACTAGTTTTAAGATCCAAACGCTTCTACAATGTTATTCTGAGGTTTTGTTTAAAATAGTCAGTGCTTTAACTGTTCACCTCATACTGAGACAAAGAACTTAAAATGTTTATTTGCACCAAATACAAAACAAAAAATTGGCTTAGGCTGTAATAAAGCTGAAAGTGTGGTTAAAAAAAAAAAAAATTATATGGCACCTACAGTGGTCTTGTACATTTAGAAAAATAAATCATATTTTTAAATATGACACAATGTATGAGTAAATCATTTAACAATTGACAAGCTGCAAAACAATGTACACCACCGGCAAGTTCAATTATGTGCCACCTCAGATTAATTTAACGTTCCAACATGTAACAGCAGCGGGTTTCTTTTAGCCAAAGCTGTTTGGGGTTGGAAAGTCTTTGTCAGGGTAAAAATGGGAGTGGGGGGTAGAATGGGATGGATATTTTCTTAAAATACAGCCCCTCAAGGTGTCTGAACAAACTGCATGCAAAATAAAAATCAGACTGATCTGCGTTTCCACAGATTTACAGACGCAGCTCAAATTATTGGAATATCGTGAAATTTTCCTTTTTTTTGCCAATCATTTCAGAAAGTGACTCGTTAAATAGATTCATAACAGTGAAATATTTCAAGCCCTTATTTCTTATAGTTTTGACGATTACGTCTTACAAATAATGAAAAACTTAAATTCATTCAGAAAATTAGAATATTGTGAAGAGTTTGAATATTGTAAACTCCTGGTGTCACACCCTAATCAGCTGTTTAACTCCTGGACATGAGCTGCAAACGTCTCATTCCTCAAGTCCAGCCACTCCAGAACCAGAGTCAGAAGCGTCTTACCTGCTGAGGACAAGAACTGGACTGCTGCTCAGTGGTCCAATGTCCTCTTTTATGATTAAAATAAATTGTCATGTCATTTGGAAATCAAGGTCCCAGAGTCTGGAGGAAGTGTGGAGAGATCCAGAATCCACGTTGCTTGAAGTCCAGAGTGAAGTTTCTACAGTTGGTGATGGTTTGGGTCCATGTCCTCTGTTGGTGTTGGTCCACTGAGTTTTCTGAAGTCCACAGTCAACGCAGCATCTACCAGGACATTTTAGAGACTTCATGCTTCTTCTGCTGACTAGCTTTATAGAGATGCTGATTTTATTTTCCAGCAGGACGCGGCTCCTGCCCACACTGACAAACGGTACCAAAAGCTGGTTGTGGAATATTCTTATTTTATGATAAATGAATTTTGTTTTTTCAGTATTTGTAAGCCACAATCATCAAAATTACAAGAAACGAAGGCTTGGAATAGTTCACTGTGTGTAGTGAATCTATGCAACATATGAATTTCACTTTCTGAAATGATTGACAAAAAAAAAAAAAAAAAGAACTTTTTCTCCACACTCCTATTTTAGATGCACCTGTGCACATACATACACACAAGCACCCACACACCTGCAAGTATATATTTGCACAAATCTGTTGCCATGGATCACCATCAACAAATCAGTCTCGAACAAAGAAAATAAATAAAAACTATTTGTCCACCACATACTGTCAAGTTGCCATTATTGTTTGAGCATTTACAGAAAACCTCTTACCTAATTAAAACCATAAAAAAAACAGGAAAAAAAAAAACATTTGGGATTTAATTGGTTTGATATAGAGCTTACTGTGCTGTGAACTATACAATTTACCCGTTTCTTAGGAGCATAGACTAACTGGGACAAAAGAAAAAGACAGTGGGGGGAAAGTAAAAGCGCAGAGACATTGTGCCTGGAGGACAAGCAGTAATATTCACTGAATAAACATTTGAATTCCAAAAGAGCAGGAAAAGGCAGATAGTGCATAAAAAGTTATCTTTTCCCCATTTCTTCCATTTTTTTTTCCCCTTTCCTTTTTTTTGTTTTTTCTTTTACTTAAAATCAAGCTGCGTTAAATACAAGCGGTTTGTACAGGACAATTGCACTTCACAAAAACAGAAATATACAAACACACAAGGAAATGTGAATCAAATTAATTACAGCAACAAAAATATACTATTTAAGCGGATTATTTAACAAAAAGAAAACAACTTTGCGGACTCACTTGATGAGGATTACTTTAGAGAAGAATATTAAGGAGGGTGAACAAAAAAGGGAGACAAGACGGTGGGGATCCTGAACTCCAGAGTGGACTGGTGCTGCACTATTCCAGGTTTGTGTGCATGCAACTCTTCCTCCTCCTCCTCCTCCTCCTCCTCCTCCTCCTCCTCCTCCTCCTCCTCCTCCCATGAATTCCCTTCTTAGAAACCAAAAGCTCAGAGTGACGGAGAAGCAGACTGCTGAGCTGAGCTGCTGTGGGTCTTGAGAGGATGGTGGTTTGTAAACTCTATGCTGTGTTAGTGGTAGGAGGTTGTGTTACCACATGTCGTCTGTGGATGCAGAGTCCTTGATAAAAAAAAAAGAAGAGGAAGGAAAAACCCTTCAGACTAGGTCTATAAACGCACCGAACAAAAGCTGCACAGGTTCAGTACGTCTGACATAAAACTAAAGCAAATAAATAAAAAAAATAAAACACCTTTCAAGAACGAATGAATCATACCACTTCCCTTCCGGCATCCAAATAAATACTACAGAATATCTATGAAATCTATAAAAAATTCATTTATCAGATGTATCCTTTTCAAGTAGCAAACGTTCAATACATATAGCAAAACTGACAAATTGTTTTTTTTGTTCAGCCTGCTCTAGCCACTTTTTAATCCACTTTAATTACTTATGATTGTTGATAATAACCAAATCCCCTACCTTCATTTATATTAGTCATTAAGGAATATATATATATATATTTTTTTTTTTTGGTACGTAATCTCAAAAGATGATAATTGTTTCATAGAAGTAATGGTGCAGAATTACAGTAGTCCCTTGTTTATTGCGGGGGCTCCGTACCCTGAAGACCCACGATAAGTGAAAATCTGCAAAGTAGGAGTACAAGTAGCAAGTAGTAGTTTATTTTATTATTTATATATATTTATATATATTTATATAATAAGGCATTTTAAATCCTTCCCACACTCTTGCAATTTGCTAATTAATGTTTCTAAACTTTAAACTCTCTAAAAGAACATATGTCATGATTTAAGCTCCCTGCCTCATCTGCTCTTCACCACCTGCAAGCACTCTTGGCCACGCCCACTTCTCTGGTCTGCACGTTGAACAGCTGATCAGTTGCAGCAGGAAGTTTATCCTGCAGTTTGGGCTGCACAAAGCTGCAGGAGGTGCTAAATAATTTAAAATTATTTTAAATAAAAATCCCATGCTGATCGTGTGGCTCATCCATCAATCAGTCAATTGTGTGTCATGTCCAATCTTATTTTGAAAAACCACGATAGAGCAGTCCGTGATAAATGAACCACGAAGTAGCGAGGGACTACTTTATACAGAAAGCCAACCAGTTTGAGATCTGTAAATGCTTCCTAGTAACAGATCTTTTGGCCATCTAATTTTTTTTTTTTTTAAATAAAATTCAGGTTTGATTAAAACTTTCATTCTGCTGATTACAAAGTTGAAGAACTACGTTGGCAGCTCATGGTCCTTTTTTAATTAAAGATATTGAGTTATTTTAGTGTGCATGGGGAAAGAATCATCTGTTAACAACATACAGTAGTTTTAATGCCGTTCTGAACCTTTACTTTGGACCTTAACATTTGTGTTCCTTGTTTTTAATTTTTTTTATTCATCATTTAGTAAAATTCAATTTACTGTAAGAATACTTTGGTTACAAAAAAATATATAAATTTTTTGTGTTTCTTTCAAATCCCTAGTACTGGTATGTCAGTTTAAAAACCACTGCCCTTAGATTTTTATTTTTTATTTTTCCACCAAAACAAACCTGCTGATTGTGTTTTTTTGTGCGAAGATGTCAGGAGAGATTTGTTAAACAGCAGATAAACGCCTGAGGGGTGACATAATAAAAGCTGCCAGAGATTGTTTCAATCTAGGTCTCTGCGTACTCAAAATTTCATTATTGTGATTGGACTTGTTCAGAAAAATTCACTACTATTGTCCTCTCTTTGTTGTCAACCAAAAGTTGAACTCAAAGAAAAACTTTAACAGGTTAGCTCTGATTATTTAGCGTCCAGACATCCATTTTCCTCAGACAGTGCAATACCACAGAAAGGTTATAGATTACAGATGAAGAACCATTAAGAGGTTCAATGAGGATCTACAGCCACCGACTTCTAAACAGACGTTTGTGACTGTGTCTGACATCTTTTCTTAAAGAGATTAAGTACGTAGTGAGTGTTAAGAAATACTTACATAAAACTGTACATTTTCTGTTGATATTTTATCACAGGCAACAACATTTTCTCAAAAGTTAATACTTTTTTGTCTAATAGATTACCATCTGATGCTCCATGATAAATGCTGGAATTACATCCAGAGCCTGATGAATTTAAAACGACGTCTACATCACTATAAAGCTTTATGTGACTGAGCAGGTTTGATCACAGACGTAAACACACGCCACAACACGAGAGATTTTCTGTCCAACAAAGAACCCAGACCAGATTAACAAGTTACACTACGGCAATAAGATTCAGGAAAAGCAACACAACAGAAGGAAAATATTTTTTTTAGTAGTCACCAATAATATTTAGAAAACTAAATAAAGCTAAATAAAACAAATCGAGTATAAAGGTATGAACTATCAAGCACAGTTATGACAAATTTGATCTTTGAGGCAACTTTCATTTGCATCAACAGCTACAAAAATGCTATCACTTAAAATACTATTTCTTAAAGCAGAAAAAAATAAAAATGTAAGAAAGCTTTGCCTAATTATCCACAACAAAAATAAAACAAGCTACTGTACTTCAAAAAGGGCATAAATATTAAAAATGGCCAGCTTAGACGTTTACTTTCAAGTACTGAGCTAGATGTAATGAAAACATAAAATGATCTAAATTAAAGTAGAACAAAAACAAAGAAATAGTTGTCGCATCAGGACAAACTTCTTGATTTTCAACAAACATAATAGAAGACAAAAAAGGCACAAAATCAGCTGAACAGACAAAAAATGTTTGTATGGCAGCTGACATAATTGATGGTGTAAAGAAATTGATTATATCCACAAAGAGGTATGAAGAAAACCGACTCTGAACAAAATCGTTTTCCCAACAAAAAAATAAAATAAAATGAACGACAGGTCTACATAACAAAGCCTGTTGTACAATAGACTGTACAGATTTAACGGGTAACAACGTTAAAAAAGAAGAAAGTCAAATGAATAGCTGCATTCCACAGACAAATGGAATCTGGTGTTGTTAACTTTGTAATCTGCAAAGTGTCTTAGAATAATAAATAAAATTAATTAAATTGGCTTCTAAGATAGGAAAATACAAAAAAAACTTATGTCTGCACCTGGGCACTTTTAAAACTAAATACAATGCGTCCATTTACTCAATCTAGACTGTATTGATTTGACTTCCAGAACTAAAGTACTAGAGGAGATATATTAGTTTTTTGACGAGGACTGTGTCCTTTAAATCACACATAAATCTAGGAAAACAGCAACTGACTATGTGCAAGAACCACAGGAAAGCCTCGGCATGCAAAGATGCAGCAGCCACTCTTGATCCAGAGAAAAGCACAAGTTTTTGTCCACGTGCTAAAATACAGAACTGTTGCTGGAAATCAGGAGCAACCTTCAAACTGTTTGTGGAGGATTAAAGACATCTCACTAGGGAAGAGAAAGGAAATAAACACCTACATGCTGAGGAGATTGAAAGCTGACTGGATGCTCAGAAAGTGAATGCAAGGTGTCCAAAATGAAGCAAAAGCTTAGCTCAACTAAAATTCACTCTGCACATACTACATCTCCAATAACACCGATTTCTCTCACCGGGGTCCAAATCTGACACTTGCCAGGCTATGTAGGTTAAAAGTGAGGGTGAACAGAAGTTATGCATTTATCACTGTACTGTCCTAAGACTGAAGCCATTTCTGCAAGCTGATGTCACAACAAACTACTACAACATAAATAACAATGGAGGTCCTTTTGTCACCACAAAACAACAGTTTATCCACTGTGAAAACAACAATAGGGCCCTTAAAGTCATGGTATACGAGTTCTCAGCCATTGATTTTATTTTACCAATACAGTATAAAATGTATACTAATTATGATAAATAGACTTCCAGACTCGCCAAAGAACCTAATGCCATGTCTGTACTTAAAAGTTTCATAAACAAGTGTGAAAATAATAGTTTTTAAAAGTCAGAGTTAACCGATGTCCCATTAAGTTGTGTTAGTCTGTTCACAAACCTCTGATTAGCCATGTACTTTTTAAATCTGTTTGTAAAGGGGCATTTTTACTCAGACAAACATGACAATTAAAACTTTGTTGCTTATTTAATCTAGAGTGAAAACTAATTTAAATTGCAGAATCAGATAGTCTTTTTAGCACAAAAACAATTATGCATTTAACCTCATCAAAATTTAATCAAGTAATAGAGATATTGTTCTAGTATTTACTAGTTAAGGCAACCAACTGTGCATTTTTGTTGATAGAGTGAAAAGACTTTGGAGGGATCTTTTTGTTGTTGTAGAGTCAAACTATAATCACCCAATATAGCCTCAATTTGCAAAAAATAAACTATTTTCTTTGTTCTAATTCTACATGCAAATGCATGCATAAGATTAATTTATTTTTGCTGGTCACACATCAAAACTGTGCATACTCCAAATAAAGCACACAAAAACATCTAAGAAACTGTCCCAATACTTACAGTGTCATCACTTCGGTATGGGTTAAGTTTGTTGTACACCGCCTCAATAACACTTCGTCTGAGTACAGGAACAAGTGAAAAAAAACATAAAAAATTACTTTTGTAAAAAAAAAACATTAAGTATTACCATAGTAAAGGCAGCAATAAACAAAGGAAACACTTCCAAATGTCAAGAATGAAATTTATTCTAACTTCAAGAATTACTTACTTGCTTGCCAGTTCTCCACCTGGAGGAAGGTTTGGGATGCTCTCGGATGCTAATATCCGCATAATATGAACCAAATCTGGGACACCTTCCTGCTTCTTGATTATCTCTGTTAGAAAAAAAACATTGGATTAATCTAGAATGTTTTAAAATAATTTACCTGCAAGAATGGTTTTGCATTAGCATGTAAAAAACGCATGGACATCTCTGGGAAAGATTTAATCTTGAACAGATTGAATTTAGTGGACCTGCAGCTCATTTTTGTTGGTTCTGATATTCAGGCAGAACAGCGGCGTGGCAGAATCAGACACTACAATAAGAACAGGGTCCCCAGCATTTTATGAAAATTAAATTCCCAGAGTTTTCCTTGATTGTTCTCCGAGTAAACCCAGAAATTCCACGAGATGTTTCAGTCACTACATAGATTCATTCAACCTTTAGACAGGTAAATCCCATTGAGCCTCGAGGACTCATTTACAAGAGAGACCTGATTTCAACAAAGAGTGATGACAACAATGGACAACAGCGACAACAACAGACAGCAATAAACAGAGAGAGATGACTGTAAGAATACTCCAGTCAGTACGTGCATACAGTCGTTCCTTTAATAATTAAGTATATTGTATAACATCAGAAATGAAAAAGACACCATAGCCAATCAGTAAGGATACATGTACTATGTACACCGTAGAAGCAGAACATAGAATCAATTATACTAGAATACTGGCATTAATATATGTACACAAAATTTGATTAAAAAAAAAATAATAATCAAAGATCAGCTTTTGATTAATGTTCAAATTTCCTGTGTGTTCCTAGAATTTTGATGTTTTGTTTTTTCTCAAATTACTTGCGTTTTCCCTGTCTAGAAATTATTTCCAGAGTCACTGGGAATCCTGAAGATAGGCTGCTGGTTTGAGTCCTTTTGTCTATAAAGCACTGGTCTAACACTTTCTACTTGGGTATAATGGCACGCAAAGCAAAGTTCTTCAAGAACTTTAAATTCAGGGTTGTGGTTTGTCAGGACTTTGAAACAGATAAAAAATGTTAGCAGCACACTAATAACATTTGTTTAAGAACTTAGAAACTCAAATGTGCCTTTTTGGCTCTTGAATAAATGGTCAAATTTAAGAGACCTAAATACTGACAATAAGAAAAGAAATTGCCTTAAACTTGAAATTTGAATTCAATCTCAAAGTTTAAATTTGCCAACTCGTGTGCTACTTGTAATTTTTTTTTTCAATTAGTACAAGGGGTGGCTCGATACCAGTTTTATCAGACCAAGTACGTCAGTTTGGGTACTTGCCAATACTGAGTACTGATACAGAGTACTAAAATTTCACAATGATTTTAGAAATATTTATTTTATTAAGAACAAAGGGACAAAAAAATAATGTCCATAGTTTCCAGATATTTAAACTGATGATAAGACAGCAGATTTTTCACAATACGTATTTTCCGCCGTACTTGTTGCACCGCCCCAGTGTTTCCCCTATCATTATACAAGCGGGGCGCCCCGCCACATCAACAGAACCGAGCGTCCCGTCTACCGAACCCCACCCCCCACCCACCTGTCTGCACTGATGTAACGCTAAACTAGCAGCTCGCAATGCAGGTGCACTAGCTAAAAAGCTAAAGGCAGCCTCTTCCTTCATGCTGAACCCTCACGCTGAACGCACCCGCCACTCGAAAATTGTCGGTACAAACAACGCACGGCTCAGATGTGCGTCTGTCTCAAAATGTCAGCTGCATTTCAAAAGCCAATATGTGAAAACATGAATGGCATAGGGATGAGTCGCTGTGCATTTCTTCAAAATTTAACAAAATAACCACCTAAAAACATTAATTTGTTTGCTTGACTTTATAGTAAAGGTGTCTCAGTTGAACTTTTACTTAATAAATGCACTTCGATGGTCAAGCTGCATTTTACCGGGGCGGCGCAGCAAAATGGAGCTGATTTGATGGTTGCTCCAGGCAGACGACGGTGGCAGGCTAAGGCAAGTCGACCGTGTCATTAATAGCCACTTTTACGCATTACATGATACAAAGGCATGCCATATTACTCGACTGCCATCTAGTGGCTGAAAATGTTAGTGTTCAATATTTTCAGTCAGAATGAATGAAAACAGTCATATCTCAGCCAAAAATTGGTTTAAAAATATGGGAAAAAATCCATAAATACGTTACTTCGGCATATAAGTCGCAGGGCAGGCAAATTATGCAAAAACTGCAACTTTTAGGGCGAAAAATACAGTATGTTGTACTCATTGGTGGTGTCCCGATACAGATACTGGGAACAGCATTGGGCCCGATAACAGCCTCAAGTACTCATACTTGTATATTCATAAAAATATCCTGATACCACTTTTACGCTTGGCGACATCATTCCCTCTTCCACTTTGCAATTAACACATCTTGTGAAAAAGTTCTAGTGTAACCTCAAGGTTGTTGAGGTGGACTGGAGGTCCAAGAGTACAAAACACTTCTTTAAAAAAAGTTTAAAAGTTTTTGATTGTTAGCATAAAACAGTCGACTGATGTGGCATAAATGCATTTAAAGGTTTACACAGTTTTAGTTTATTTTATTTATAACTAAAAGTTACATGGATTAGAGCTTGTTAGACTATTTTTATAATGATAATGTTGGCGTAAAAAGTAAATATGAAGTCATATTTGGCTCGATGGATCGTTTCACACAGCAATTATGACTGAAAATACTTGAGCAGGAAAATCGCTTAGAGAAATGGTTTTAAAATGTAAAAAAAAAAATAGGTTATATTTAAGAATAAACCCATCTGTGCTCAATTAAACATGTCCTGATGCATGCTCAATAATCCAGGTAGAAAAATCCAAAAAAAGTTCAATCTGGTCCTCTGGACATTAAAAAAAATAAAAATAAAAACTTTGCTTTGTTTTTTTTTTTTTTTGAATGTCCAGAGGACCAGATTGAACTTTTTTGGATCAATTAAATATGGTAAATTTTAAAACACTTATATTTCCAAACTTGCTCCCCAAGTCTAAATATTACTCAATTAAAAAAAATATACAAAACAGTGATTTTACAAAGATGTTCTTCTATATGTATATTTTTCTATTTCTTACCTTCTACTTTGCCCTCAAGATAACTATCCAGCTCAGCCTCCCTTTTCACTGCTTCTGGAGAAACCTTTGGAGCCCCAGGAAAGCAAATTAGCACAACACTCATATTGTCACGGCTTCCCTGTGGAAAATCAAAGAACAAACAATTACAGCAATGTAAATAACTTTAACAACTACCAGTGTACTTGCATATCAGAACAAGTTTTGAGAGACTGTCCTACCTTGTATAAGCAGGTGTCGACAATTTCATTGCTGACTTTTTCAAGATCCTCTGTAACCTCTAGCCTTGACCTCACAAAGTCACAGAGTTCCTCATTGGCCATGACATCCCAGATGCCGTCACAAGCTAGTATTATGAATTCATCTTCCCCGTCGCATCTTTCTATTGCATACACTTCAGGCTCTGGAGAAACAAGTTGCTCTGTTGGGCCTTTTCCGTGCACACACTTGTAGTCGAAGTCTCCCAGAGCTCTTGAGACAGCTAGAGATCCATTAACTCGCTGGATCATAACTGAGCCACCTGCATTCTGGATTCTCTCCTTCTCAAGGGGGTTGTTAGGTTTGTGATCCTGTGTGAAGAAGTGCACAACTCCCCCTCTGCTGAGGAGACCCCGAGAGTCACCACAGTTGATAAAGTAGATATGGCTTGGAGAAATCATCACCCCTACTGCAGTGGAGCCGCTGCGGTCGACACCATGCTTCTTCTCAGAGATGGTTCGCATGTGTTCATCAATCTGCAAGAATCCTGTGCGGATTCCATTCTTCACGCTGTCTACATTGTTTTCTTCCTGTAGAGCACTCTGGAAGTCTGGGTTGCTAGTGATGTGTTCCAGGAGGTGCTCACAGCAGTACTTGGCCACCTGAGAGCCGGCATGCCCATCGTAAACAGCAAAAAATGACCAGAGCTCGAGACCACGAGGCAGGCCAATTACTGCTGTGTGTGCATCCTCCATTTCAACCCTCCAACCCTGCATGCTGCTCAGCCCATACCTCAGGTTGTTACCATCACCACGGGAATTGTATTTTTCCATCTTTGGTTTGTCCAGAAATGCTCCCATTGTGTCCTTTTAACAACCTGTAACACAAAATAAGAATAAAATTTGTGTTTCTAAGAAATAGCCCAACTTCAGTTCTGTCATCATGACATACAGGTACAAAATCTTAAATCTTCTGGTCAGAAAATTAAGAATATAGTGGATATTTGCAGTTTTGCCAGACATAAACCATCTTTAAACAATCTAACTCTGATAAAAGGTTAGCATATACCTGCAGCTAAATACAGTATTTTCGTAGTTATAAGAAAATGAACATCTGTGCTGCACAGGACATCTAGACTGTGATGTCAGATGACAACATTTGGAGCTTGTTTAAATATTGTGGTTAATCAGCACACCAAATAGAAAGGTGCCATTTTATACAGGCTGCAGGCTGGTATGTGCACAGTATCCAAATATCAAAATTTAGATTCTGGTTCACATGTTGACAGATTAAAGCACACATACACACCAGGTGTGTGTCACGTCACACGTGTCGGCTCCAGATTTGTAACTGTGATTTTTATTTATTTTTTTCTTGTTTTTCACATTTGGTGAATGTGTAAGGGAAACACTTTCCTCTAAAAAAATACATAAATTATTGCACTAATCTATCAGCAATAATATACCTTTTAATATAGAATTTAGTGTTTACCTGTTTGAATGATAAATTTATTGCAATTTCAGCAATTGCACGTCAATATATCAAGTTACAACCAGTTAATGTTCTGGTTTTCACTTTTCAAATTATACACAGGCATTGTTCTGTAAAAATACATTGGGACGCCCACTGTGCAGGCGGTAGCTGCAGCAGGTGCAAGAAAGTCAGCTTTCTGAAAACAGTCACAACGCAGCAGTACAGGAGCAACACACACAACAAATTGCTGGTGTGAAATAACATGGCGCGTGTACAAAACTTCCATATTGCTCGACTATCATGCAGCATCTCAGCAATTTACAAAGCAAACACAGCTGGTGTGAAGGGGGCGTATCTGCCTAAGAGGCCCAAAATTCCTAAATGAATGACACCCATGTAAAAGTTAAACACCTCTTAAAGAGTAAAACATTATACAACCCACATTCAATCAAAACAAACGTTTTATTAAATCAGGAAAAATAATATTGGTATTTATGTGTTACCAGTTTAGAGACAAGTGTAGTTTAAAAAAAACAAGTAATGCAATGTCTACCACAATATATGAGAAATACAGCAAATCATATTTTGTTAAAATGTACTTATTAAAAGGTTTTGTTCAGTAATGTGGAGTATTTTGTATTGATTTTTTCTCTGTAAACTGGTGCAGTTTTAGATAATTATTTTGATGGTAATATTCAACAATTAAGTCAAAATAAAAAAACAAACAAAAAAAATAAATAGATATGTTGTCAGTAAATGATTTACGAAAAACTAAAAACAACTAAAAAGTGAATCCTCAGATAAGCAAAAACAGAGAACTTAATGTGTCCACCTGTGCAAGAATAGATTGTGTAACTGGGTATTAACAGAAAAACACACTTAATCTTCCAACTGAGTATAAACAGATATCACGACTTCCACCCATTTGTGGCACAAGATAAGCATCTTGGAGCTGGGTTTAGACCTCTGCTCCAGTCTAAAAATAGTAAACCCGAGAACACATTATAGCTACTTATTAGGAACGTTACTTGGTGTTCAACGAATTGAAACCTCTAAGAATTAAATATGTATGTATTCAAGTTCTACATTCCGTTTACAGAGAAATAAAAAAATAAAGTGTCTACTTGAATTTTCATGCACCAAACCTCAGACCTTCGCGATTCTGAACACGTAATTAGACTAATATCAGAGGCGTAGAGCTACCTACATGACTAGTTTCTCGATTATCAGTAGAAAACACGAAAGTATTAGATCCTAGAGTTGTAAGCTAGGATGGGCCTGCGCTAACAGAACCGCTTAGATAGCTGGATTAAAGGCGAGTTAGATATGTACCACGTTCAAATTACATTTTTAAAAACTGCCTTTCCTCTTAGCGGGCCTTGACCCTTGTCTCTTTCTACTAACTTTGACAGGCCTTCTTCTTTACTATGTTGTGTTGAGGCGAGCAAAACCGTCGGCCCTGCTACCAACTATCTAATTTAGCAGAGGTAGCCAACTGCCCATTTGCCCCTTGTAAATGTTGTGTAAAAAAATTAATATTTTACTTACCAAATAACTAACACACCAGTTGACAGTTGCTCAATCTGCGACGGGGACCAAGTGTCCGCAGTTTACACCAGAAGGTGTACAACGACGAAATACAGGTGTGTGGTAGCTAAGCTAAGCTAGCTTGTGAGCTAGCGACGAACTGTCGTCACTCAAGACTCGGTGCATATAAATTGTATAAATGTGGAGGTCCCTCTTTGCGTCCTCCCGTGATGCATTACATTATTTCAGCTGGAGAGCTAGAGGATAATCTAATTTCTGGTGATTTGAGTGGGAAACTAAGCTTTGTGCGGACAAGCCAGGGGGAAAGCTGAAACGTCTGCCCCAGTCTCTCCACTTGACAGCTTGACAGCTAACGTTAGCTTCTGAAGAGCTACAGGCGCAGGACCCGGATGTTACAGGCTGCGTATATTCGAAAACATGACATCATTGCTGTAGTTGTAGCTGCGCGCGCTTTGGCAGGCATTATCAAAACGCACTTTTTTTTTTTTTTAAAGATACTCTATCAGTAATATATTTATTCATAGTCCAAAATAAAAATATTGTAAATAGTAAAATTAATATCAACAATAACAGCAACAATAACAACAAAAACAACAACAAAAATAATAATTATTATTATAGACAGTCAACTGACACAGCAGATCCAAAAAAGTTCAATCTGGTCCTCTGGACATTAAAAAAAAAACAACAAAAAAAAAACAAAGGTGACACAGCAGATGTTGAGGGGTCTTTCCATTCTGAATACAAATGGGGAAAATAAACATACTGACATTCAGATGTTGCAGTAAACATGCACAAACCACTTTTATTATAGTATAATACTAATTTAATTGAATATCCTGATGCATGCTTTAACTTAATTTAACTAATTTAATATATCCCAAAAAAAAGTTAAATCTGGTCCTCTGGACATAAAAAAAGCAAAAAAATATAGAAACGTTTCGTCTCTCATCCGAAAGACTTCCTCAGTCTGAGGTGCTGTTTTCAGCTCAGTCTCCCAAATATCACCGTCTCAGAGTGGATCAACCAGTTTGCTGCTGACAACCAAAACCAGCTGATCACATGCTCAAGAAGGACCATCAGCCTAACAATGGATCATTAGCACACTGATGGCTGTTTACTATTCACAGGGGGCTGAGTGATACTAGCAATAACTGCATTGTAAGAGGGGGACAGTTGAACCCGGAGGCCTCCACCTGTTTAATGATGGATGGTTTCTTTTCACAAAGATGGCCTCCTTTACTCCTCTCTCAAACCATCGTTCCGCTCAGTCCAGGATGTGCACATCTTCATCCCGGAAAGAGTGACCGCTGGCCTGGAGATGAGTGTAGACCGCATAATCCTGGCCTGATGTTGTTGATCTTCTGTGCTGGGCCATCCTTTTGGCCAGTGGCTGTTTAGTTTCCCCGATGTAAGACTGATCACAGCCCTCCTGACACTGAACAGCATACACAATATTACTCTGTTTGTGTTGGGGGACTGGATCTTTGGGATGAACCAGTCTTTGCCATAATGTTTTTTGGGGTTTAAAAGCCACTGGGACGTTATGTTTAGAAAATAAACGTCTCAGTTTCTCTGACACTCCCTCAACATATGGAATGACCACTGGTCTGGGTTCCTCCTTTTCACCTGCCTTTTCACCTGATGGCTGACTGGAGTTCTGTTTGGGTTTCTTCTCCGCTTTCATGAAGGCCCAGTTATGTTGCTCTTATTTTGAAATGTAACCGGAAGTTCTGTGTTCAGAGAGGCGGAAAAAGAAGTTATGGAGACGCCGCTAATGTCGAACCGAGACGCCGCCAGTGTTGAACCTGAGACGCCGCTAATGTCGAACCGGTTAACACAATAGGCATAATATGCCTGTGGTTAACACAGTCTGCCAATAACGGCTTGTTTTTAGACATAATGTGTATGTGATTACGGCATTTTATCATTCAGACTTTTTTTCTATCGTCCAGTCAGATGTGGCCGACCAGACACGCCTATTTTCTATTGTCCAATCAGATGGGTCCGTATAGATACGCCCATTTTCCTATAGTCCAATCAGATATGACCGCCCAGATACGCCTCCCGAATTTGCCTGCAGATATACCTACTTGCTCACATTGGTTATACTTCAGTGACGCAGTTAAACGCTTTGCTTTCTAAGAAATGGATTGGTGCATAACCTATGTCCTGTGGTATGTTGTACCATTTTATTTGCTCGTTCACTTCGTGTGTTTCATTTTTGTAGATGCAGATTTCACTCTGCTTCGGGCGAGTCTGATTGGAAACAAACCAGGTGAGTTTTAAAAGTGTGAGATACAGAAAAAAGTGTTTCTTTTCCATTTTGGAACATTAATTATAGAAACTTTCAAATGGAAGTCAAGCTCAATAATCTTTATTATTCCAAGGGGCAATTTGTTTCACAATCAGTAGATATACAAAACATGCAAACATGACCAGCCAATGTAACTAAAATAATTAGAACTGCTCATTAAGAAGCCTGATTGCTGTAGGGATAATTGCGTTTTTCAGTCTGTTAGCTCTGCATTTTTGTAACAGATAACTTGGGACAAAACTATGCTAAACTCACCTTGATTTAGGTGATCAGGATCAGTCTGGCCTTTTCACTGACCTAACCTTGTGAAGGTCAGTGAGGTTCCTAGGGATTTGCCCAACATTTTACTACACATCCTGACAATCCCCAAGAGTTTGCTTCTGTTTTTACATGTTATAAATTCAAAACAACCGATCAAATTTAAAGCAACTCGATAAAACATGAAAAAAATTATCATAAAAGTAGAAACAGAATTTAAACTAGAGCTTCCAATAAAAATACATTCTCTGATGAGCCTTCTTACAAAGTGAGTTCATTATGATGAATTTATGATGTGTTGTGCAAGGAAATTGTGAAAAAGTAACATTGATGACAGCTCGCAGCTGTTTTCAGACTAAAATAACAGTTTGGTGTAGTTGTAACCCATCTTTTAAAGGTAACATTTTGAATTGTGTAAGGTAAAATTTAAATGCGTTACAGCAGAATTAATATAGTTTTGTAACAAGTTAACGTAAGCAGCAGTTTGTTCTATTTCATCCCTACTGCCCGCCAGAGGCGGTGCTTAAAGCACTGAATGATCATTCTTGCACATGCGCAGGTCGAGAATTTATGCCAACATAGTCACGTGTGACACCCGGGACACCGGTGAGTCTATATAAGCATGTGACAATGGTAGGCCAGTCCCTTGTCATCTTCTCGCATGCAGGTGGTAAGAGGTTTACTTTTCTACTTGATGCTGGTAGCCTCGAGACTACGGTTGGAGTTGCGGGACTGTCTCGCCCTCCAGAGGCTGCGCAAGCTGGTATCCTCTAAACAATTGTATTTCAACTGGTAAGTTGTTTTGTTTCTGTTGACCTGGCGGTAGCGCGTTCGCTAGCCACGTTGGGTTTCCTTATGCCCCTTTTCCACCGTCACGGCGCGGGTCGGATATTTCCCGCTTCACGCGCGTTTGAGGTCTTTCCACTGTTCCTGTGACCGGCTCGCCTCGCTAAATTCTGGCCCGGCTTCTCAAGGGGTCCAAGCATGTCCTGGTGTGTTCCGACAATACTTCTGCAGTTTTTCATGTCAACCATTAAGGTGGAACATGGTCGCTGACATTGCTGCTACTAACCCGGGACCTCTTACTTTGGGCAGCCCCCCCTCTTTGCCAGCCTGAGGGCAGCCCATATTCCAGGAGTGCGGAATGGGCCGGCAGATTTTCTGTCTCAGGGACGCCCACCACCTGGGGAGTGGAGGCTACATCTGGAGGTGGTGAGGGTAATTTGGGAGAGGTATGGCAAGGCAGCTGTGGACCTGTTTGCATCTCAAGAAACGACACACTGCCCGCTTTGGTTTTCTCTGGCAGGCAGTGCCAGTCCCCTGGGTCAGGACACACTGGCACACGACTGGCCCAGGGTGCTGCTGTATGCTTTTCCGCCGCTTCCCCTGATAGGCCCAACACTCCGGAGAGTCCTTCAAGAGGGGCATCAAGTCCTCCTAGTGACTCCCCTCTGGCCTGGGAGAACTTGGTTTCCACTGCTGCACAGGCTCTGTTGCAGCTCTCCAATGCCTCTACCCCACAGGAAGGACCTCCTGTCACAGTTGGGGGGGTCAGCTCCTGCACTCTGACCCCAGTCGCCTCCGGCTTTGGGCTTGGCTACTACAGGGCCCGGCATTACTTTCTCAGATTATGACGGAGAGGTTGCACGAACAATGAATAATGCCAGGGCCCCTTCCACACGACTGTTGTACACACATAAGTGGAAGGTCTTCAGCAACTGGTGTCATGCCAGACACGAGGACCCCGTACACTGTCCTCTTTCTGTTATTCTTACTTTGCTTCAGGCGCTACTTTCTCAGGGCTGGTCTCCAACCACCCTGAAAGTTTATGTTGCTGCCATCTCTTGCTGGCATACGGTGGTGGGTGGGGAGACAGTAGGTCGTAACAAGGATGTGTCCTTGTTTCTGAGGGGCACCAGACGTCTGCATCCCCCCACACGCCTCGTCATGCCTGTGTGGGATCTCTCTCTGGTCCTTGCTGCCCTGCGGTCTGCTCCGTTTGAGCCCTTGATGGACGCGAGCCTTGAGTGCTTGTCTAAGAAGACCGCGTTTCTCCTGGCCATGACTTCGGCCAAACAAGTAGGTGAACTACATGCGCTATCTGTTCACAAGCACTGTTGCCGTTGGAACCCGGCTGGTTCGGGTGTTACACTCTGGCCTAACGTAACGTTCTTCCCTAAGGTGGCCCCATCTGCGACCCACTCTCTGCCTCTCCAGCTTGCTCGCTTCGATGTAGATGGTGCTGACGAGTCTCTGCCCTGTTCGGGCACTGGAAGCGTACATCAGATGGACAGCTTCTCTGCGGCTGTCTGATAATATGTTCATTTGCTATGCAGGGCCTCGCAAAGGGCAGGCCCTTTCAAAGCAGCGCCTTGCGCACTAGATTGTGGATGTGGTGGAACAGGTGTACACTCTGCAGGGCCGCCAGCCACCTGTAGGGGTACGATGCCATTCCACCAGGAGCGTTAGCGTGTTATGGGCCGCTATGAATGGGGTCACTCTGGAGGCGATATGTGCAGCAGCCTCCTGGTCATCCCCAAATACCTTTGCCAGTTTCTACAGGGTAAACCTGGCTGCCTTTCACCCGTTGGAAGGGATCCTATCACAGCATCCATCTCCGTCTCAGTAAGGTGGGCACACTTAACTTTTGTTTCTTCTTGTGGGTGTGATTCCTCAGGACTCTGTTGGCAATTGTCATTCAGTGCTTCAAGCACTGCCTCTGGCGGTCAGTAGGGATGAAATAGTACGAAAGTTACAGCTGTAACTACGGTTCTATGAATCCCGGATGACCGCCAGAGCGCTCGGTCCCTCGGAATCATCGCGTGTCGCAAGAAGATTAAGGGACTGGGCTACCGTTGTCACGTGCTTATATAGACTCACCGATGTCCCGGGTGTCACACGTGACTATGTTGGCATAAATTCTCGACCTGCGCATGCGCAAGAATGATCATTCAGTGCTTTAAGCACCGCCTCTGGCAGTCATCCGGGATTCATAGAACCATAGTTACAGCTGTAACTTTCGTTATTGTTCTATATTTTAATACAATAACTTTATAATGTTTCATTATAATGAAAATTGTTATGAATTGTTCACAAAGAAGTGTGGAAAAGTAAAAAGCATGAAAAAAGAAATCTGCTTTACAACCACAACTTCCACAAAATTGAGACATTTTGTAAAATATAAACATAAACCAGAATGCATTCATTCACAACTATACTGTAAATCCATATTTTATTCATAATGGAACATTGTAAACATATCAAATCAGGTCATTTTGAATTTG